CCAGGCACGATGTATAACTCCGTTAGGATTAGATTACAACACTAAGATGTGCTCTCCATAAAACAGTGCTTCTGTGACGGCTTCTCAGCAGGACTGGACTATAGCAAGCCCCCTGATGCTGATTCACAGACTAACTTCTGCTTTTGGCAGGAGCTATAAAGCCACTGCAGAACCAAATCCAGATCTCCCAAACTCCTTTTCTTTATAAAATGGGAGGGTATGTGATGAGGCACTCCTGCACATCCTCAGGAGCTCCCACACCTTGCACTAGGAGCTTGCAGCTGCAGACTAACAGGCTCAAGGCTAACTCTTACTGGCTGTTCTGCCGGTCTGCCTCTCAGGGCTCACAGAAAAGAGGATCTATCTAAATTTTTCCCCCTTCACAGCCACATCTTTGTGGTTTCCAGCAGGAGCCTGCTGAGCTGCCTGCAGCCCCCAGCTCCCTGCTACCCAGCATCCCACCAGGGACATGAAATGGTTAGAAATGAGGAAGGGGCACACACTTCTAGTTTCATAGCAGCAGTGGTTAGCAAAAACCTCCAGCCAGCAGAGGATTTTGTCAGACTTCAGATGCCCCAGCCCACTATTTGAATACATTTCTTCTTAATTGCCTGGGATCTACAGCCTTCACTACAAGGAATGCTTCCTAGAGAAGCATCTCCATCGCCATGCAGCCTTCTGCATGCCACTATAACCCAGTGCACTGCTGTATGCTACACTGCCTTGCAAAAAGGGCTGTCACTGATTTCGACCTTTCTTGGTAACAAAGGAACCCCCCCAACAGACAGCCAGTACTTTGTCTCAGCTTTGATTGACAAGTCAATGGGAAAATGTAACAACACTGAAAAGCTCTGGGCTTAAAAGAATTTGCTAAGAACTACATCTGATAGAAATCTGTCAATTATTTAAGAAGCGAGAGCATTAAACTGCTACTTGATTTTTGTTTAAACTTCCCAGGCTGCCAGGACTGATGTATCTTTTCTTGTTTTAATCTGAGCCATGACGAAATCTGATATAGTTGATATTTTTATACAGCATACATTAAACGTGTACATTTCCTAAGAAATGAAAAACCACACAGAAGACCAGAGAGAGAAAGATTATACTCAGTCTCTGAATAAGCTGGATACTTTCAAGCATTGGCATGAGTTTGTTTCATTGCATATGGATTACGAAAAAGGCCAACTTACCTCAGAGCTGGGCATTCAGCATTTATATCTGGAAGCAAAGAGATGTCTGATTTTTAGCAGAAGAGAAGAAAAACAGCCCATGAATCCAATAAGCACGAACATTTTGAAAAAAATAACAACTGGATGATAAACTATATAACTATGAAGTAATGTGAGATGATAGTTTATCTGAAGACAGGAGCAAAGCAGGAAATAAACAGTAAATTTGCTTTTTCCTTGTTCTCTCTCTTTTTTTAAGGACTTTAAACATTTCCATTTGGTGTTTTGTTAATTCTATCTTTCCTTTCCTTTGCTGCAAGACACACGTTTTCCTTAGGCCAGCTGGCAGATCCATGTGGTTTCAGTAGGGGAGGAAAACAATACATAGGGCCAAATCTAGCAAGTTCTGCTTCAATATCACTCTCACTTTAAGCACTGGGATACTGCAGTGTCTGTCTGACTTACAGCCATGCTGTAAGCATCCACCTCTGAATGACAATAGCAAAACACACTGTATTCTTAAAATCTGTCAAGATTAGATTTTGGTTAACAAAAGACAAAGAAGTTAAACTTGTACATTACTTACCACTTTACTGTTCTTTGAGAACGCCTGTGCAGCCCTCCTAGGCAAGTTATAGTCAAAGCTTTTCCCCTTTTCCCTAACATATTAATTGCTTGAAATGCAATTGATGCTTTTGGATTGTTATCCTTAGCCCCCTAAGCTCTTGTGTTTGAACTGTGAAAAGCATTACGCTGAAGAAAAACACTAAGACATATTAAAGTACAATTATGTGGCACAAAGTACCCTCAAAAAAGGTACAATGTGGGATTTCATATTTATTATCTGTTGCAGTTCACATCTGCTCTATTCATCAAAAAGGGGGATGGAAAAGATACCACTGTTGACTGCTAGTTCTTCAAAATCAACTGGAACTTCACTTGATCTGTTTCTGCATTACAATAATTTTTACCTATAGTAAATTGTAACTCAGTAACTCCACTGAATCAACAGCTACAATAAACCCTTCAAATACCTTATCTGACAAGGGCACAAATAACAGTAATTTCTGAATTTCTTTTCACAAAGTGTTATCAAGTAGCCTGCTATTTGCATAATCATTTTGTTTAAAAAAATACATGGTGAGGATTTAACTCCAAGATGAAAAGAGTGAGAAACTACCACAATCTCCAATGAATTGGCATTTCACCTAAATGCAAGCCAGAAATGGGGAAGACTAGCATACAGATGATGTGTAAGGTGCTAGACTCAGCCTGCTCTGTGCTGGAAGGGCTGGGCTCCGTCCAGCCACAGGCACAAGAAGGCTCGCTGAGGCAGCAGCAATTCCACTTGCTCCAGAAAAGCTGTGGAAGTGCTGAGCTAAGGTGTAACCTGGGGAAAAATAAATGCTGTTGGTTGGAACGTGGCTGTAGCTAACAGTATGCCAAATCAATCCAGCACATGATTATCCCAATTTTCAAAAATGTGCACTGTGACAAGTCAGAGACAGAGGGCCAAGAGGCTCAGGCCCTCTGTCAGAGAGATACTACAAGACTACAGCTTGGTTTCATAGCAAAGAAATGCTATTGGTGTTTCAGTCTCTGCCTCTTACCAAGAATACTTTTTTTTTCTGTGCAGTTTAGCAATATTAGCTAAGTGGAGGAAGATGAGTGGGACCTAGACACACTAAATCAGCTTTGATGGATATCCTGTGTGTTGCCTTGTTCTCTGTTCTGTTTCTGCATATGAGATATGCAACTCTTGCTTAAAATACTGTTGCTAATCTCAAATACTTAGGGGAATACAAAGATGTTATTTTGTCATTGTTTCCCTACTTAGATTCCAACAGATCTAGTGCTCATAAAAAGAATACCAGGATTCTGTATCACTCTTCGTCTACACAGCCTACACACTCTAATGGCTCTTCAAAATCCAGATTTAATTGGCTTTTCAATGCCAGTTTTTATTTGTGTGTTAATACCACAACTGAAAGCAAAACTCAAGAAGAAAAAAAAACAACTACACGTGTTTGATGATATATGTGAAAGCCTTGGATATTTAGCAACTCTTTGATGCTTTGATCTCTGAAGAAATCTTACTAAAATTATGATCAAAGGAATTCATATTATTCCAAGTACTTAAGAACGAACAATCTTAGGGCAATAATCAATATTCTGTTTAATCCTTTACCCTTGGAATACATTATTGCTAAGCATCTCGATCTGATGGGAGTTACATTTACTTAAAGATGATATTCTCATAAAAAAGAATTAGAAGTAACAGAAAGCAATACTTCCAACTTAGATGAAGAGATATGAAGAATTCAGTTTTACTCTTCTAACTAATAAGTGTGTTTTGAAGGTATTTTTTAAGTGTACATAAGAAAGTTGGTACGCAGCTCATTGTAATGAGACTGTTCTGATTTTCTTTTTCTACAACAGACAAAGCATTTCCCATACACAGCTACTTTTAATTTAATCTAACTATTTTCTGTTGTTTGTGTTTATAGAGGACGATTACACAGACGGATATATCTAATATTTATAAAGTAAATTAACATTCTATTTGATAACATACAAAGGCAGATAAATAATGAATTACTCTTTTCATCAGTCTAACCACATAATGTCTATTTCACCATAATATCAAGTATCATATCACCCTAGTTGCTGCAATCCCCTATGGCAAGTTAAAGCAGTGCAATACAAAGGATCCCTGAACCGCAGACTACAGAACATAAAAGACAATCCAGATTTAATGGAAACACCAATTACAGGTTATGGATTTACTACTTGTTGCTGATGAGAAGTAAAAGAGGGCTATAATAATAATAATAACAAGTAACAATAACAGCAAATAAGAAATCAAACCACAACTCCCTTCTCACAGTCATGGTCTTAAGAAATCCCAACATCCTGACTAAACCATTCCTCCTCCCATTTTAACTGAGCAGATTCTTTCTCTTCCTGATCATCCCACCCACAAAGGTTGCCTTTAATCATCCAGTTCTTTTTTAGAAAAAGGGCTCCATCACTCCCTAATGGTGAAGGATTATGAGTAGACTCGTGCAGACACATTTGACTGTGAACGCACTGTTGAAAGCATTCTTCCAAGCTGACAAGAAAACACGCCTACTTTAAATGAAAATCAATCTCTGCTGAATCTGTTAGCTCCAGCTCATTTGGAGTGGCACTGCTGTAAGAGCTCACAGAGCTGTGCTGCAGCCGTAACATCTCAGAGTTGTGCCTTTAGCTTCAAAAGCCTGCAGATCCACGGGGACTAGCAGATGACAGAGGCAGACAGAGGTTAATCATGCATTTGACAAACTCAGTGGTTCTTCTGGTGTATCATGATGTTTTCAAAGAGGCATAGCTGATACATCCGGGAGAGCCTTTTGTCCTGATTTAAGTTCTATGCAATTCAGTTATTGCACAGTTAACAGATTAGTTTTGTCTTCTCATCTGTTTACATCTATGCCACAAAGCTGCACAACCAAAGAGACACACCTCCAGCACAATTCCACAGGGCTCCAAAGCAGAGCTTGACTCTTGTGAACTGTGGGACTCAGGAGCTGCTCATTGGGACTCCAGACCACAGGACAGTGAACTGAATGCTATGGGGCAACAGCCAGGAATTACAACAACTTCCAGGCAAATAATTTTGTCTCATTACGATTTATAATCCAGGTGACACAAGACAATCTCTGGCTGCCTTTGTTACCTGGCCTACCCAGGGCTCTCTCAGGGCTCTGGGAAATCTAGGTACCATCCATCTGGCTTCAGCTCTGCCGTCAGATCTGGTGGTAAAATGCTTTCATCTCTAAAGTTACTTACTTGATTAAAGTTCTGAAGCTTATCAATCAAATTGCTGATGAGTGGGTCTAGTCCTCTGACTTTCAGTTCTGGATTATTAATTTGAGCCTTCAGTCCACTGGAAACAACTCTGCTGGTATAACTGAAAAAAAAGCAGAAAACATCACTGATTGGAACCATCAGAAGTAAAAATCACCTGAATGAAAACTTCCAAAAGTAAATATTCTGGAGATAGTAATAGAAAATTGCAATGAATACTTATGCATTTAAATACACCAAGGAGAACAAAATTAGTTTCTCTGTGGTATCATCAGATTATTCAAACCACAAATGAACATCAATTCTACAAGCCACAGAGATTACTTCCATTTCTAATATAAGTGGGATGGTTCAATCTTTACTGCCATCCCACCAACATCCACTTCTGATGTTGTGGGCAAACATTAATTTTTTTTTTTTTTAAATAGGAAGCATTACTTTTGGAACAGCCCTCATAGTTTGGCACTGTTTGTCACCAAACAGATGAGAGAAAGAACTGAACCAGAGCCACCTTTTCAGTAAAATGAATAAATTTCACTGCTTGGGAAAAGAAGACAAACAAACAGTTTAAACGAAGAATTGAGGAAAAAAACACCATTTTTTCACTAATGGCCAGACAGTACTTAGAAAAGGACAAACATTAAGGAAAACCTATTTCAGTAAGTTTATATTTTTATGTTCGGAGAGCTTTTTAAGGAAATGGACTAAGTTTTCTTTGTGTAAGTCATAAGAGCATAAACTAATCCAGAAGCATAATCTTCCATGATACAACGGCATGTGAAAAATGATGGCCAGGTTCTGATCTTCCAAGCAGGCTCTGACAGCTGAACCAAGGTCCCCAGGAAGAACACAGATAAAGGATTATTTTCAAGTCAAGACTGGTTTAAATTGTAACAACCCACTTTACCGAATCACTTGGACAACACAGAAAGCCTGCCTTTGGCTATACCTTTATCCACTGACCGGGCTATTTGCTGAATGTTCCTCATTGTTCATCAGATGAAAATACACGCTTGTCACTGCAGATGTACAGAGACACCTGACAAGGCTTTCTGAGATCATCTTATCGCGGTACAGAAGAAATTTAGATTAATGAGTCAGCTCATGGACTCTACCAGCCTTTCAGTGATCCTCTGTGTGCATTACTGTCTTATTAGAAACTCATCAACAGCAGTGAATAGAAAGGCTTTTCCTTTTCATTACTCTTGACTGCTCTCTGTTTAACCCCTGGTTAAAGCTCTAAAAGGATTCGGGATCACAGATTGTGTTCTCCTCTATCCCTCCAGTTATAAGGAATAATGAGGGACAAAATATGATGGGCCAATGGATTAATACCTGCCTCCGAGCCTGGTGTGCCCGGCAGGGTTTGGGTTTTTTGACCTCTGCTCTGTTTGCACCAGACCAGCTTCTCCCACCGGTGGAAAGGAGTCTTAAAATGGGAATTGGGAAGGTTCATTGATATAGCTTTAAACTACTATGAAGGGGGTTGGGGGGTGTAACTGGGGTCGTTAGAACAGAGCCCGTATGTAAGGTCCCACTGCTTATGGGAAGGGGATGCGCTAGTAAGATCCCACTGTTTTGTGTCTTGGTGAAGGAGGATGACAACTCACCCTTCTGTAGGAAGAACACGAGGGTTGGTGTGAGGTTGGTGGCTATGGAAACACCTGAGTATGGTCATAGGGGTATTAGGACTACTGCCACTCAAAAGGAGGTCCACCTCAGGTGCCTTTACACTAATGCACGCAGCATGGGTAATAAACAGGAGGAGCTGGAGGCCATTGTGCAGTCAGAAAGCTATGATATGGTCGCCATCATAGAAACGTGGTGGAATGACTTGCACAGCTGGAGTGCTGTGATGGATGGCTACCAACTTTTCAGAAGAGACAGGCTAAGCAGGAAAGGCGGTGGTGCAGCCCTCAATGTTAAGAAAGAATGTGAATGTACGGAAATTAATGATGGTGATGATTGGGTTGAGAGCTTATGGGTCAGAATAAAAGTGAAGGCCAGTAAGACTGATATTACCGAGGGAGTCTGCTACAGGCCACCCAACCAGGATGAAGAAGTGGACAAAATACTTTATAGACAGTTGGGTGAGGTCTCAAGGTCACTCTCCCTTGTTCTTGTGGGAGACTTCAACTTCCCAGACATCTGCTGGATTTATAATACAGCAGATAGGGAACAGTCCTGGAAGTTCCTACAGTGAGTGGGAGACAACTTCCTGACACAGCTGGTGAGGGAGACAATGGGGGGAAGCAAAATTCTGTACCTGTTGTTTGTTAACAGAGAAGGTCCTGTGGGGGATGTAAAGGTCGGAGGCTATCTGGGGCACAGTGATCATGAGATGGTAGATTTCTTGATCCTTATTGAATCATGGAAGGGAGTCAGCAGAACTTCCACCTTGGACTTCCAAAGGACAGACTTTAACTTCTTTAGGAATGGTTGAGAGGGTCCCTTGGGAGGTAGTTTTGGGGAGTGTGGGAACCCAGAAAGGCTGGGAATACTTTAAGGAAGTTATTTTAAAGATGCAGGAGCTGACCATCCCCAAGTCACAGAAGACAAGCCACCAGGCAAGGAGGCCGAACTGGCTGAACAGAGACATTTGGCTGGAATTCAAAAACAAAAGGAAAGTTTATGGTCTCTGGAATAGTAGGCAAGCTACTTATAATGATTACACGTACGTAGTGAAGCTGTGCAGGGAGAAAATAAGAAATGCCAAAGCCCAGCTAGAACTGATCTTGGCAAATAAGGTAAAGGACAACAACAAATATTTCTATAAATACGTCAACAGCAAGAGGAGGGATAGGGAGAATCTCCATGCCTTGCTGGACGCCGAGGGCAACTTGGTGACCAAGGATCAGGATAAGGCAGGGGTACTTAATGCCTTCTTTGCCTCAGTCTTTAATAGTAAGACTTGTTACTCCCTGGGAACACAGCCCCCTGTGCTGGTAGATAGGGACGGGGAACAGAATAGACCCTGCATGATCCATGTGGAGATGGTTTTGAACCTGATCCAAAAGCAACCATTTTGTATGAATGAGTCTATAGTCCACCAAGACAAAGGAGATACTCACATGCTATAAGTTCTACCAGTGTTTAGGAATCAGCTTTAAAGCTCTAGAGAGACACATAAATAATACAAGGATAGTTTCACTGCCATATTGCTTGCAATTAGACTTACAATGTAGATATCCTAAATTTTAGATGTCAGAGAAAGCATGCAGGAATTGTGTGAATTGTGTATAATTTCCTCATCCCCTCCAGTCCAGTCCAGTTTTAGTACAGCAGTCACTGAACACCCAACTGCTAACGAGAGGCTCCAAGACAGCACTAGTCTAGTGCTGGTCTGGAACACAACCTGCAGGACAGCAGTGCCCTGACAATCAACTGTAGACTTTTAGCGGTGGTGACATGGATGTAATCTGTTTTCCAAATGATGTAAAGATAGGCAAAAGACTAACTTGCAGAATACAACGAAGTCAGCTTTTGGGTTTCCAAAACTCTGCTAGCAATGAGATCATACCTATAACAAAATCAATCTCAGAAAGAATTAAATGATGAACTAAAAATGATGAGTTCAGAGACGGTGGCTACAATTCTTGAGGACAGGGCACAGAACCGAAGGAGAGTCATACAGCCAATGAGGGGAGAATTCCTCCAGACCATCACAGCCAGGAATCAAGACTGCATTAGGAAAAGACAGCACATCCATCTGACCCAAACGGCTACCTTGCAGACAATGAATCTTTCTGCCAGCTCTGTAGCATGCTGATATAGCTTGGAATGAACACTATACATTTCCTGAAAGATAATCTGATTACTTCACTTCTTTGCACTATCTAAAACATTATTTTTTTGACATCAGATCCTGAATTACTGGAAATGTACATTAAGCGAGAGCAGAAATTGGCTTGCTTTATTTAATAATCTGCAATTTAACTGAAATATTGTAGTACAGAATTGTTAACTCTGGTTACTGCTCCAGTACTTTATTCATACATGACCCAGAGATGTCAGTAGAAATCGTCAGGAAAGTTGTATAAAAATACTACCCCTGGAACAATCTTGAATGTAATCATTACATTAGAGCTCAAGGAACAATATGTGCAGACAGAATTATCTTCCAGATCTTTGAGACTCATGTTAATGTTATTCCACTGATCATTCAAGCAAAACAGTGATGCTTTAAAAGTCAAAAATCAAGCAAAAAAACCAAATGATAAAAGAATTCAGCTCTCAAACCATAATTTACACTATTTCCAAAGAATAGCTTCTATTATTAGAATCACAGAATTACCTGGGTTGAAAAGGACCACAATGATCATCTAGTTCCAACCCCCTGCTATGTGCAGGGTCTCCAACCAGCAGACCAGGCTGCCCAGAGCCACATCCAGCCTGGCCTTGAATGCCTGCAGGGATGGGGCATCCACAGCCTCCTTGGGCAACCTGTTCCAGTGCCTCACCACCCTCTGTGTGAAAAACTTCCTGCTAATATCCAACCTAAACCTCCCCTGTCTCAATTTAAAACCATTCTCCCTTGTCCCATTGCTGTCCACCTTCACAAACAGCCATTCCCCCTCCTGTTTATATGCTCCCTTCAAATACTGGAAGGCCACAATGAGGTCTTCCCAGAGCCTTCTCTTCTCCAAGCTAAACAAGCCCAGTTCCCTCAACCTTTCCTCACAGGAGAGCTGCTCCAGCCCTCTGACCATCTCAGTGCCCTCCTCCGGACCCGCTCCACGAGCTCCATGTTCTTCCTGTGCTGGGGGCCCCAGGCCTGGATGCAGGACTGCAGATGGGGCCTCACAAGAGCCGAGGGGGACAATCACCTCCCTCTCCCTGATGGCCACCCCTTTTTTAATGCAGCCCAGCACACAGTTGGCCTTCCGGGCTGCAAGCGCACACTGCTGGCTCATGTCCAGCTTCTCGTCCACCAGGACCCCCAAGTCCTTCTCCGCAGGCCTGCTCTCAAGATCTTCCCCCAATCTGTATAAATCCTGGGATTGCCCCAACCCAAAAGTACAGCATCCTGCACTTGGCCTAATTGAACCTCATTAGGTTTTCATGGGCCCACTTCTCCAGCCTGCCCAGGTACCTCTGAATGGC